CTAGTGAAAGAAAAAGGAAAACACAAAGAAACACAACAAACACACAAGCTCACAAAACCTAAGACACGAAAAAAAAAAGCCCTTCTAACAACTAGACTAACACACCTGACAAGCCTCAACGGTAACACCATGATTGACCACCAAAACGACCAGACCACGGCTCAAGTTCAACTCCAAAAAATGCAACACCCGACCTAACTAGAGTCAAAACCCGAGACCTTAACCAACTCCCTGGCGGCCGACCACAACCCCTCAGTCGGAAGTCATCTGAACAGCCCCACTGGTCACCACCACACCACCACCACCCCTTTCCCAGCCAACACCACTGGCCAGGCCCGACGCGATGACTGTTCATTCCTCCTTAATAGCAAGGGAAAAAAGAACAAAAGGGAGGCAGCTACCGGATTTCGCCCCATCCACCTACCCGGTAAACGAAGCCACAACCCGCCTCCGACGCAACACCTTAACCACCTCCTCCTCGCCGCCATGGAAACTGACGACTTCGTCCAGGGATGGCAGCCACATGAGCCGAAGACCACCCGGGAATGTCGACCGACTCCACCGCTTGAGAAATTGGGTCCCAACATTAAATCGCAGTCGTGCTGCAAATTAGGAACCGACCACCGTAGAGGAGCCCGACGGTCCGGCCCCATTGAGGAAGGCAGACGCAGAATCGGCTAGGGTTTTTTTTAAAAAAAATTGGGTGAGACGAAACAATAGAGAGATAAAAATGAAATAGTTTGTTATAGCCCACACATTAGGGGTGGGCGCGGTCCAGGACGGTTCGGGATTTGACTTGTCCCGGTACCAGCCCCGCTTTTATGAACCAACGGTCCGGCACGAGACACCATCCCAAATAGACCGGTATCAATCAGGACCAGAACAAAATAGATCAATAAATAAACTCAACCAAATGTTGCTTTCATTAAAACAAACAATCAACATACATTTAAAAGTTCAAAACAAACAAATATAAAGTCATTCAATCATTCACTTAAACTATATTGATTCCATAATATCCACTAAAACAACATAATCCAACGTCCACTTACACTAAAGACGTTCTGAATTCGATCATTAAGTACTGACTACTGATTGTCTTCAATTAAACCAAGAGGAGAATTAACTACTGATTGTCTTCAATTAAACCAAGAAGAGAATTAAATCAGAGACATACTGATTCGGGCCAAATACATTTGTGTAATCCATGCCATGTGTAGTTTTTTAATTTTTTTTTTTGGCGAGGATTTTTATAATCTTATATTACAAGTAGAAAACAAAATCAGAAAATGAATGCTTGAAGCTTGATGCCCACTTAATGCCAAATTTTAAAAAATATTGTTAATAATTTACTATAATAATAATATTTTGTACAAACTAATCAAACGGGACAAACGAGATAGTTCTTAACAAAAATATTCAAAATCGATATTGTCATTGTTTAAAACGGTGCAGTAAGGAGAACAGTATTAAAATAAAGAAAACCATTCGGAACTTTATTTTTTAGAACGAGATCATTTCGGTCTGGTTCAGTAGCGGGAAATTCGATTTTTTTTTTGTCCATCCCTTCCAAACATGAAAACATGGAATATTGGCTACAATTTTTTTTTTTTTTTTTT